CCCGGCCCCAGCACAATTCCCTTCTTACCTCTGGCAATAATTGCAACACTGCGTGTGGAAAGGTGGAGTCATCTCGAAAAAGCCCATGAATGGGAAGCCGCGATGCTCCTTTTCCTGCTCCGGAGCACCACAGCGGCTGGCAGAGCTGGACCTGGGCCCTGGGTGAGCCTGGGCTTTGTGGCTCAGAGGCACGCAGGCAGCTTTCTGGAAGAACATAATGATTTCTGAAAGGATGGCATCAAAACCAGGCCTTTTAAGAAAATGCTTTTATTTTTTCTTGAGTTGGCATGTTCCAGTAGAAATATTTTCCAGTCAGTTAATTATTTTTAAGGCTGAACTTCTGCCAGCTATTCTAGAGAGGAATAGCCAGGATAGTGGGGTCCTTCTGTGCACAATTACATGGAAGAGACCCCAGTTAGGAAGAAACACGAGAACTCATGCACCATCATGTGTCTGTGTATCCCCAACTCAGAGAGGCAAACCAGTATTTTCCCTCAAAATAACAATTCTAGGTAAGGGTTTTTAGGTGTTAATAGGCCCACTGTGGAAAAGGGCTTTCTTCCTGGTTGTATTTGAAAGTTTCCTTCTTAGTCCAAAACCTGAACCTAACCCCAAAGAAATCTCATCGCCTCAACAGGCAATCCTGTCCGAAGCTTTCCAGTTTGCAAGGAAGAAGACAGCATTTGTAGCACCCCACTACAATCCTCCACTGCTCTTGGATGATGCTGGAGGACACTGCAATCCTTTGCTACATTAAGTGCAATATCCTTGAAATGGCTTTCCAGGATGTGAACAGATAAAGACAAAAAGACTCTTCAGGTGGTGAAAACAAGTATTACTCCACCAGAAAGGCAGAACAACTTTCACACGCCAGCCACATGTATCGTTTAACACACAAGTTATGCACTTCTCACAGTCATCCCTTTAGCTTCAGTGGAAGTGTGCCCACTTGTCGAGGTTTAGCCCAGCAAGCAGCTGAACACCACACAGCCACTCGCTGCTCAGTGCCAGTAAAACCAGGACACTACTTAAAGTATGTTTGCTTCGCACTTTTCCTTGCAGGTAAAATGATGTTAGAAATGAACAGTGCATGGGCAGGACGGTGAGTGGACAGCAGAGCTTCAACTGAACAGGAGCTTCACTCCCCAAATGCCAGGTGCTGGCAGGAACTCTCTGACTTTCTTCCCTTATGCCCCAACAGCCCCACGGCCACTTGGAAAGGGGGAGTGTTGGCAAACCTGCATTTGCCAGGGTTGTGAAGACAAGCTGTTCAGGAAATGAAGGGGAGGTTGACTGCACCATTAATTCCATTAAAAGTTCAACTTGTTACCCGAGTACACATTGAACATGTGAATAAAGTATCTGGGGCTTTTCTATTATTAGTCTCCTCATGAGTGGATGAATACATTAAAGTTTCTGAGGCTCTGAGAGATTCTGCGACGGATGCTGCTCGAGGAGTGCGTCGGACACCGAAGGATCACCTGCACACATGTAAGTGATACTCATTTATGCAAGCTTTTTGTGAGACCTGTAAAGACCTCCCTCGGTTAATGACATTGCTCCATCTTCTTACATTTCTTCATAGATTCAGGGCAGAAAAGTATTCCCCCTTTCCCCCTCTGGTGCTTGTTGCTAGAGGCATCCTGATAATCAGACTAATTTTGGGACCAATTTTCAACTCCTAACAGCTCAGTAAACTAAAATGCTTAGGCAATTTATTCTCTGCATACTGTCAGCTAGGTAACACTTGATTTCTCATTCCATGACTGCATTTTATTGTTTTAAAGAGAAATACAGCATGTGTGTTTCCAACAGATTATCTCCATAATCACTTTCTTTTTGCTATGGAAATGATCTGAAAATTGTTCTTTGATATGAGAGAAGAGTTCACAAGGCCACACTGTACAAAAGCTTGAATCATGCAATTATCATTTGTAAAGAGAAACTGTTATCAAAGTAACTGCAGGGGACACCTCCAGGACTCCTCTTAGAGTCAGGAAATTTGAAACATATATTTCTCTAACATGAATTTCACTCCAAACCCTTCTGAATAATTCATGAGAGCTGATTTAATGTCATAGTTAAGCCTGGCATTCAGGACGGATATCAGGAGCTTCTGCCAGAGATGGAGGATTTCACCAGTTCCTCTGGGTTAGGTAGGGGACAGAGCTCGGTCTCCTAACTAGGAGGGTTCTGCTACCCCAGTGCTTCTGATTTGGACAAGTCCCTTACCTATGACAGGCATCCTGGCAGGGAAAGGCTGGGGGGAGGCAAGTACCTTCCTTACCTCTTTCTCAGGCTGCCTGCTGGTGAGTGGGAAGTGCTGTCCCCCTCTGACCCCACCAGTGCTAATGGCAATTGGAACCAGAGCCTCTACTTTGCTTAAGCAGATCTCATCTGTTCTTTAAAGGAAGAAGGCACCTGATACGGGAAGATGACATTTTGTTCTTCATTCACTAAATGAGAGGAGCTACAAATTGCTGGAAAATGGTAGTTTACAAAGCACTAAAAGGAAGACCTGCAGGTTGGTGTGTGACCAATACTGAAGGAGTCAGACTGGTTTTAACTATCCTCTTGTGTGCCTATAGGAAGGCAAATTAGCTGAAGGGATGCTCCTTGCTTGTACTCGTAAAAGTAAAGGGGTCAGAGGCAGCTGTGCCCTGACAGCTCGCTTCACCAGCGACTGCTGCTGCCAAATTCCCGCTCTCTCCCAACTTAGGATGCAGTTGGAGAACAAAATCTGTGAAGGAGTCCCCTTCCCAGGCTTCGGGGACTTTTTGAGCAAAGCTGACTTCCATGAACTCAGGATTTTACCCCCACAGGGTTCTGCTACGTTACTGTGCTAAAACTATCCAAGAATCACATTCCCATTAGGCAGGATAGCCTGAAGACTAAATGCCATTTGACGATGCTGGATTTTTTGAACAGGATGGGGGGAGATAGAAAGCAACCATTTTATAGGACTTACCAGCGTTTAATCCCAAATCACTTTTCTAATGCCAGATGCTCCTTCTTTTTACAGACACCAAAAATAATGCCTATTCTTTTTGACCAAGGTCAGAGAGTGGCAAAATACTCAGGTTTTAAGTCCCAGAAGCCAAATTCCTCCCCTATAAGAACAGAGTACTGATGCACAGAACCATTCTGCCAAGTTGCTGAGCAGGGCTGAGTGTAATTGTGTTTGTTTTTCATAATACAAGAAGACCATGATGTTGTCACTGATAATTCAGATGTAAAACTGATGAGTTGCAATAGAAAACTACCACAGTTCTATCCTTGGCAATCTCATTTTGCTGAAATGCAACAATCATGAATACTTGTTAATCGTTCTCTTTGTATTAGGCAAGATTTTATATTTAAATAGGAGTCATGTGTGGCTATTACTTACAGATATTCAAAAGCCAAAAAGCTGTCTTTAAGACACATGAGGAACTAGAGAAAACATACGACTGTGATGTGAGAAGTTGGTCCTAACACATCTTGTTCTAAAGCCTCTGCATTTTTCAAATTTTAATCATTGCCTAATGCTATAGATGACACCTACTGGGCAAATGAAGGCCTGGCACATCCAGCATTTCGGAGCCTTCTGACTACTTGGTTATTTCCTGAAACTGCTGACAAGAATGAATCCTCTTTACTCACTGCAGCAAGATTTTGTTGCACCCTTTACACAGGCAGGCAATTCATAACAGCTAAGAGGAAGGCCAGAAGTATAAATGCTCTGTTTGCAGAGGACGGGATGCCTAAATTGTCCTCCTGAGACTATTACTTTTATTGAAGTCTAGATAGTCCCTTGGATTTGTAAGCTTTGTAGAGAAGCAGGAAGAGCAGAACATTAGGGAAAATACTGCTTACCTTTTTTTACTACTGGTTAATCTTCTTTTGCTTTGCAGGCAGCTATAATGGTAACTTCGTTACACCACTCCATTACCAATCAGTGTTAAACAATGAAAGAGCAGTGTGTTAATCAAATACAAGCAATATTAATGACATAGTTAGAAAGAAAACTGAAAACTCTCCCTTTATGTTGGCTAATTATTCACATTGGGACTAATAATAGACTTTCAATGTACAAAAATGATCTTAGGTATATTATCCAAGCTGTTGCTCTTACTGCTTTCTAGAGAAACTGATATGAACTATCAACTTAAATGAAAAAAAGAATGCAACCCAAACATCGGGGTACTCTTCTCAAAGTTAGTCTATATTCTGTATTACTCACTCACTGATATAGCTTTGATTAAAATTCAAAGTATTTGGAGAAAAAAGCCCCATAAGTTTATTGCTCCCCATCTGAACTTACAGTAACAAAAAAATCTTCCACACACTTTGCATGTGCAGCTACAGTGATTAACCGCATATATTAGATATGTGCAAGCATAATTAGTTAGCTGCCGGCACAACTCAAATTACCCAGGAAACACTTTATTCTCCATGGTAATTGCAAACCTGAGATGTGGCACAACTGCCCACACCTTTTTGTGTAAAATGAGACACTTAAATATATGGAAAAATCATTTAGAAATTTAAGTCTCTTAAAAATTGATTCCATCTTTATTAACTTAATAGGAAAATTTCTAACACAACTGTATTCAAATAAAAAATAAAAAAAGCAGAAAGCTGCACATTGAGGAGTGATCCAGAACTTAGCTCTGCATGGTCTCAGAAAATAACGCCACATAGTAAGGTCTCCAGATTCCCAAAGAAATGACAGATGGCACGTAGTATCATGATTTCTTTTAACATACCAGTTTTTGTCAGCTGCTCCAGTTTAATAAGAGGATTCATTCTGACCTGTTGGTCTTTGAATGTACATATTCTCCTTCATGTGATGAGAAGTGCTTCCCCCAACATCTTTGGTATCTGGAAAGCTACAGAAGCTTTATTCTGTATTGAAAGTCTTCTTCGCAGGAGACAGTCCTGAATATAAAGCTCCCACCAGTTGAAGCATGGAGACCTATCCCTCAGGCAACCATACTCCATTTACCTTTCTGGGACCATTAAGGCAAGATCTCACCAGGCACTGTTCGGGAGTTGAATATATTCATGTAGAAATCTATCAGCAGCTCAGTGAAGAGATTCAGAGGCACCAGAGCGCTCAAGGAGATACTTCCTTTCGACGGCCAGACCAAATTCAAACCAAAAACACAGGCCAAGCTAGATGCTGTCATTCTGTTATATATGCTCTCCTGTGAAACCTGGAAAAAAACATAAAGCTAAATAGGTATATGCAGACCTGTACCCCAGAGAGCAGGAGACAAGACACCACCCTGTACTGAGGATGAACCACTGGCTTCTGCACAGCCTCAGAGCTGACTATGCAGCCTAGACCTATGGGGCCACTGGAGTCTGTGTCCTTCAAGCACAAGATAAGATGTCAGTAAGTCAAGCAAAAAGGCTGAATTGTTTCCTTACGCTAGGAAAATTAATTGTTTTCAATCCTTCTATATGGAATCTATTGTTATCTCTGCTGGGGGGCAGGGAGGACAGCAGACACAAACAGCTATCCCATCTGCTTCGGTACAAAGTCCTCTACAGAATAAACCTCAAGGACTTCTGAAGTTGTTTGCAAGGGTTTAATAGGTTTTTTTTTCTCCCACTGATGCATGACTTCACTTCCAAGTACCTCTACATCCACCCAGTTCCTCTGAGGCAACAGAGGTGAAAATGGGCTGCAGGTAAAATACACAGCACTGAAATCTGTTCTGTACCTGGATGACGCATCTGTGAATGTGAGCCCAGAACTGGGTAGCAGGAGTAAGTTTTTTTTCTCTGTGTGAGCTTGGCACAGCATTTGTGTGTTTTGCTCTCCTGCACTGCAGGGCTGATATCTAAAGCCCAATTTGGTCTAGGTGCCCTACTGGTTCTCTTTTATTGTTAAGAGCCAATAAGCTGAAAGTGCTCTTGATTCCTCCTGACCTAGGTAGTTCAGCCAGTTCTTCCCAGGTTGATGGTTGCAGTTGATCAATAATCTGAATAATGGGAAGACCTTGCAGTCACAAACTGTGATGTACACATCACTCTGAAGCTGTCATCTCAGAAGAGAATGGGGAATTCTTAGGGCAAAATCTCCCACGTATTCTTCATGTTACAATTTCAAGTGGAATAGGAAAGCAATAACTTCACTTCTCAGAGCTTCTCAATTTCTGTCTTGCCATAAGGCTCCTGAAAAGGCAGCTCTGTAGTACTATGAAAAGTCTGAGGGCACTAGAGGAAAATCTAAGAAACAGTAAGATCATGTGAACACTTAGCATACGCATAAACTCCAGTTGCTCCTACCCAGTATTACAGGTTTGATTTTTCCTCTGTCTCCTACAACACAGTCCCAGCCTCCTTGGTGCTCTACCTAGCAAGGTGCCTGTTTGCTTTGCCATGAGGGGATGTAACATCCTCTAGACACATGTGCAGGATGGAAGTCTTTTCCTTGTGGGACATAAAGAAACACTTATGTGCCCAAAAGTGTAGCATTTTCTTCCTAACTATATTAATTTTTCTAATTATAGGAACTACTTTTCCCTTCAATCTTTGCCTTACCCTCCTGTAGGAGGAAAGAGCTACTGTGATGCTACTTCTGCTAAAAATATTGAAGGCTTCAGTTGTTTTTAAGGTCACAAAGCAGGGCTGAATAAAGGAAAGAGGTATCAATAAGGATTGATATACTGGTGCTATAATGACCTTTTTAGCTTGGAGAAGAGGAGACTGAGGAGTGACCTCATTAATGTTTATAAATCTGTAAAGGGCGAGTGTCAGGAGAAGGAGCCAGGTTCTTCTCAGTGATGTCAAATGACAGGACAAGGGGCCATGGGTGCAAGCTGGAGCATAGGAGTTTCAATCTGAACACGAGGAAAAACTTTTTTACTGTGAGGGTGGCAGCACAAACTGCCCAGAGAGGTTGTGGAGTCTCCTTCTCTGGAGACATTCAAAACCCACCTGGACGCATTCCTGTGTGACCTAGTCTAGGTGATCCTGCTCTGGCAGGGGGGTTGGACTGGATTATCTTTCGAGGTCCTTTCCTACTCCTAATATTCTGTGATTCTGTGAATCTTTTCAATGGACTGACTTCAAAACTCGAGAATAGAAAGTCAGCAGATTAAACGGCAATGCCTGCTTCATGACCTTATGCAAAATCCATATCATCCTCTCTAGAGTACGAACCACATATAGCCTGCTGACCTTCACATACTACTCTCAATGCACTATTTAACTATACAGAAAAACCAACAAGATCATCTTGTTAATTTATTCTGCTTCAGATGAGATCAGCTCAAACAAGAGTTCATTATGCCAAGCAATGTAGCAAAAGCAGCACTACTATCAAAATAACTGATGAGGGAAAACAATTAGGACAATGATGAGTACCCTGTTAACAGGGAGACACAGACCTAGGTATTAGCCTGAAGGCAGCTGGACGATGAAGCTGGCATTCAGATACTGCTAAATATAACCAGGTTAGGAACCGCATTCTGGCCTTTGGGTCAAGTGGTTCATACTGCCTGCATCCACACTGTGTAATAGTGTACTGTGAATCCCCTGTGGATTGAGGACAAATTCTATTTTGGTGTTTCTTCATTTGAAAGTCTCTAAAATAGCGTGAGAGCTACAGCCCATCACATTGTGTTTTCCACAACACAAAACCAAAGATATGTGCATATATGCTAAGGCAAATACCTTAAGTGTATAGAGGGCAGGTATTCTGTGATGGCACAGGAGCATGTGGTATAGTACTGGTGGACAGTGGCGGGTGGAAGGAGCCAAACCTGTTGCAGTTGTCTTCCCCTGCCTTTTGGGAGTGCTCCCTGACACACTCCATCCAGCATGTCATGTACAGGTGCTGTCTTCAAGCATTAGATGAAACACACCCAGTTTAACCTAGCCACTGCCTTTGGAGTTCAGTGTTTCAGCCCAAAGCAACACCACTGCAACTTGCTGGTAGAGCTAGATTTGTTTTTTCTTTTTAGGCCAACTATTTAAAAGAAATATTCTGAGATTAAACCATCTCTTCCCACCCACCACCACTCTGCGAACATTTCAAGGAGACAATCAATGTTGAAATGATCAACAAAAATACCCATGACATCTCTCTCCCCTGAGGAAGAAAATACTTAGGATAAAGTGAGCCAGTGATTATATCATCTGAGGCAGAGCTACACTAAGCCTTGTCTGTGAGTCATCAATCACATTTAGGAATTCAAGGCAGACACAATACATCATTGCTTCACTCCAAAATGCACAGCAATCCTTCCCTCAGAAGATCCAAGAAGTGTGCAACGGAGTCCAATTCTCTCCACGAGAATCTTTGCCGGCTCATCAAGAGCTACAAGCAAGGAAGTCTTGTCACACCAGTGCTAATGGCTTTATCCCTTTTGAGGGGATCAGCCTCACAGCATCTCAGACCCCTCACTACTCCAATGTCTGGAATGACACAAACACATCCACTTCACCTACAATACTAACACGAGCAACTGATGTTTCCTTCCAGCACTAGACCATGTAAAGTCAGCTTGCAATAAGCCAACCTCTTCACAGGCTACCCCTCTAAGAACCTGCACCCCAAAGCTGTGTCTAAGAAACACAAATGACATCTTTAGCATTAGGACCAAGCTCCTTGACTCCTTCTTTGATTCCCTCACAAAGTTAGTATGCAGCACATCTGTTTCAAGTGAAAATACACTTGCTTTGCCAATTGAACAAGATAATAAAAGACAATTCTGCAAGGACCTAGATCCTATCTTTGAAGGAGTCATCTGAACATCACTGAAAAATATTACAACAAAGAACTACACAGCTCCAGTTTGTTGTTTTTCCCCTTTCATAGGAACATATATAGAAAAATCAAGTAATGACAGCCTACACTGAAAGGAAGTCCTCTAGAAAGATAAAACTTGTACATTGCAAAACTCATCACTGGGAATAAATACTGAAGATTTACTGCCACTTCAACAAATGCTTAATATATATCTTCACTATGCCAGAATAAACATCTAACCTCCCCCAGCAAAGCTGTGACGAATTTTGGATTCCACATACTTGCACCCCAGCACCCTCATGGATACCACAGGAGAAAAACCCCACTACCTAATGAAGTTAAACAGTGAAACACAGAGGGTAGAAACAGGCAATTACCATCACGTTTTAAAAATACAAGGACATCACCATTGCTTTGGCTTCTCAGTCTCAATGCTGAAAGGAACTCCACAAAACATTTTCAAAAGAAAATTACTAGATATTAAAACGCCCCCACAAACTGACTGAAAATATGTTTCTATCCCCCACCCTCTGCTACCTTGCAGACATGCCAACTGCTTGTATCTGCTCTCTGAGGCTTAGTCATCTAATACTTCTCAATGTGCCCTGTCATCCCCAGCCACCCCCAAGCTTAGTTGGTGCTAATTACACTTTTAAATTGGACAAGTGATTGAGACAAAACATTAATTCAGAGCATTTTTTTCCGACTTGTACTTGGCTTTGACTTTGCTGCCTCAGTTACAGATCTGAAGTATAGCTCATGGGCCCAAGAGTCTCGCCCAATTTTTCTAGTTGGTCCAAGTCTGACATTTTGAATTTGGCAGGATTTTGCAATGGTTCTTTCAGCCAAGTCAGCCACCCTTCCTCTACGTCAGGCATGACTGCAGGGAGAGAAATAAGCAGCAGAGAAGGGAAGTGTGGAAGTGTAGAGAGTGGGCTGTGTCAGCTGGTACCAAAACCAAAGACATGGTTATAAGAACACAATCTAGATGATATTATTGCCTCTACAAACTCTGCTGATTATTTAGCCTTAGACTGTCATGGAAAACTACAATTACAGTTTTCTGCTAAATGGCTTCTGGCTTCAGAACTGGGTAACTGTAGCCCTCAGCGTGCTTTGCCAAGTTATTTGCAAGATTTCTTTGAGGGCTGTAAGTGTGCACGTGCATTCATAAATCCGCATCACTGCACGTGCAAGGCAGGGCCTGTGGCACACAAACACTTGTCTGTGCACACTCATCTCTTGCGAGATGGGCTGAACACACAGACACTTTAACAGACATAATTTGGGGAGTGACTTGTGAAAACCAGCCTTTGTTCTCCCCCTTGCTCCTGGTTGCTCAATTCTGCCCAGGGACCTCAGTCCACTGCAGCTCCAAGGGGACCCCACAAATCCCTCTCTAGTGGCCAGGTGCGCTCTAAAGTGGAGATGGACAGCTTACAGCTTACACAGCATGCTGGGCTCATGACTGGCAAAATTACTGCTAGTCTAAGGTTAAAGGATTCGTGCCTATTTTTGAAATTCAAGCCTTTTACTTCTGTGGGAGTTGCACTGTCGTGCTGAAGCACCCTTGGACTAGGAGCTAAGTAAGGGGGTTGGTAAGTAAGGTAAATAGGGACTTTTTTCCTTCTTCCACAAACCTGTATCAAACCTGGAGTGTTCAAAACCTGTATCTAGTGATTACAATTCATCCCACTTCACAAAATTACCACAAGTACCTCTTGCACTACTCAAGGCTGAGCTCATGAAAGAATTAAATTGCCTCTTATACGTAAGAAGGTTGATGCTTGCAGGTAAAAACTAGGATTATTGGTAGAGTGGTCTGTTAAAGTTTGAATTGTGGCAGCTTGTGCAGCACACCGATCTGCAATGAATAGAAATCTCCAGCCCCTAGATAGTTTCACGTTGCCTTGACCTTTACAAATGCAAATATTCCCTGAGACATTAAGGATGAAAAGCCATGGATCAGCAAAAACTGCAAATCTGAGCACTAGTATCAACTTGACGCTGTGCTTTACATAACAAGGGACACTCAAAAATAATGCTATGTTCTGCTGCCCAATTACAGAAAACACTATGTAGTACTTTTGCACACCTCATTAACACCTCAAGTGCTCAGCTCTTAAGAAGTGCATTGAGATGGTGCATCTATTATTGGAACAAAGTCACTTACACGATTCATAACACTGAGGAGAGATATCAGTTGCTAAAATAATAGCAAATGACAGGAGGATTTCCTTAATAGCATTAGAGTTCAGCTAAGCAACAGTAAACGAACATGTGAGTATTACAGGAACCCTGCAAGTGCTGTCTGAGTGAGGGTCATATCAATGTGCTTCCTTTAATCTTGCTTTTCTCTAGTGTTTTGATAGAAAAAGGGATTAAATGTACTTGCTTCTGAAATATGCCACTGGCTACAATATGGCAAACATGACTGTAGCCCACAGTTACTGAGGACTAATTTCTCCACTAGTTAAAAGCAGCATCATTTCACATACGTGATTGCTTTGGTGGACTTTTAGGACTTCTGAAGGCCAGATCACTTTAATTAGGTGTCAACCACACCATAATCCTCAATTTTAGGCACCTGGGTTTGAAAAATGCAATCTGGAAAAGGCAATGCATTGGATAAGGCAGATGGAAGAGAAATTTACACTCCCATTACTATCTTTTCCTGCACAGCAACTGGAAACCAAAGGATTGACACTAAGCTAACTGTAGAAATATTTGTAATGGAGGTTCCCCAAATTCTCACACTTGGGGGGTTTCCAAAAATGGGTTAAAAAAAGTAGCAAATCAAAAAGTAGAACGAAAGACACATTATTTCATTTATCCTGAAGCACACCAAAAAACCTTGCAAAATGGCACAATTGAAATTGCTCATTTAACACTGCAGTAAATTACAGGATGAAAGGCTATTTTAAACCGGAAAATGTTATTTGTAAGATTTAGTATAAAATATTTTGCTGTTGTTCTAAAGCTTATTAGTATTTCTATCATTGTCTAAAATTACACTGATTTATTTGGTGCTGTAGTTGCTCAAGATTTATAATTTGGAGAAAAAAGGTGATTTCACCTAGTTTTTCTCCAGCACTGAAAATTACACAACCACCTTTTTCAGGCTTTTTTTTTCCACTCCAAAATAGGAAAGAAAAAACAAAAAAATAAACCAATAAAAACATACGTTTGTGAAAGTGGAGGTGGGGGGACAGGATTTTTAGATATTCCAGTACAGGCACAGTTCCATTTACATTTTTAGAGTAGTTTTCATTGCATCGAAAGAACTTCATGGTGAAGGGATGGCCAGACCATTGTTTAGCACTGACTTTTATTAGAACTGGAGAGTTCTGCATCCTGAGTTGACGCCACTGACAAGTACTGCAGGACCACCTCACCATACTTTTAAAAGTCTTTAGTTTTATTTTCTGTGGAGATTTTCAATGTTGAATTAACAAGAACAGATTTAGAAAGAAAAGACTGGCACTATGGAAATTTTGCCTATACTCACCATATGGAGAAAGCATATCAGATACTTCAGAACAACATAATTGTGTTCAGGAAGTCCTTGAATGATTTGCTTACATCTGGTAACTCGTAAACTGCTCTCCACACCTGCAATGCCAAAATCAATCTTAACTCCGAAAGATCAAAATATTACCAAGAAATAATACCATATTGATATCTGCTGCAATTACTTTAGATATCCATCTGTAAAACTGACCACAAAATTCAGCTTTACTAACCTCCATGACCACAGTAACAGTTAGGGTTATCCTTCTGAATGACCCTATCATATTTAGTATTATGTATCTGGCTAAGACTAAGTTCAGAGTATTCTCTCTTCTATTCAGTCAAATTGCCAAAACATTGTCTTAGCTAGAGAGGACTTTCAAAGGTCTTGATTTGAATCCTATTATCTCTTCGTGCCCTGAATCCAGATGTCTACTTTTTATGCTCTGATTTTATTCTTGCTGAGACACAGTCCTGCCCAAAATGCTCTTTCAGTACTCTACTAATTTTAAAAACACTTTGTGATTCTGCAGGAAACTATTCTGTCTTGGCAAAAATTTATAAGATGGCCACTTGGGTGGGTAAGCACTTTCTAGAGATCAACCTAAGCATGTTTATTAACTCATTTCTACAGATGGGCAAAACCAGAACTGGACCCCAAACTCCTTGGCATCATCTAGACAGTCTGGATGACAATTACACTAACACTGGATAATATTTCAAATGCTGTTCCAGGTGACTTTTTTTTTCTGGGATATTGTAATTATTTTAGTTCTGGAAATTTAACACCAATTTGGAGGAAGGTCTGATGACTACCTTCTACAGAATAAATAAAGCAGGAAGTGCAGCAATATTGTGTAAAGGAACTCTTGTTAGCAGTTTTAATGACCAAAGAAGTTCTTTGCTACAAGCTTCAAGGTTTTATTAATTTTTCTAGTCAGCCACTCGGCTAATTTATTTCACAGCTCCCATCAATAACTCTTTTAAAAAAAGTTTCAGATAAGAAACAAAAGAGAAAAGTTTCACTAACATTTCAAAGTACAGCAAAGCAGAAATACTGTATTTCTGGGTTTGCAGGTTAAGAGATGTTATAGACACATCACACATTGCTCTGGTGTCTTCCAGAAGACAGAATGAGAATTTCTAAATCATCCCAAGACAGCTGTCTGTGATCACACCTCTTCAAAGCTCCCTTCTGCACTGTATTCACAGAGAATATGCCTCTGCTGCAGTCCAGCTCAGCTCCCAAGCTTAAGATCGTTTACAATCAGGGTATCACCACAGCATCAAGAAAAGATAGTGGACATCACACTGTATAACAAGAAAGCCTAAGGAGAAAGTCTCCCAAACTCCATTTTTCACCATATTTTGTTAACATTTAAAATGCCAGTAAACAAAAATAACTCGGAATGAACGTTTCACAGGCGTTTTGCCAAGCAAAATCTCCCGGTGTTCCTTGGACAATGCACTGCTCTCAGGTTCTTTTCAGACTTGTTCTCATTTTTCTCTTAGCTCTATCGCAAAGTAGTATCATGTCCAGAAAGTCAGCACAAGATTAGTTCAGTAAAAACTGGCAGTTATACATCCTTTTTCCAAATTTCCCCTATTCTTTCCAGTTCTGAGTGACTATCCTTAGTCCCTCCATTACTACCACCTTCCTGTGAATAGACCTGGTTTTCTCGATTCCCTGAGATATTTAGCGTGTAGACAGATGAATCCTTGATCTGGAAGGGATGATCTACAGATTTGCAAATAGCAAAACAGTACAGAACTTCGGAGGATTCTGAACATGAGCAGATGAACTTTTTAAATGGAAATACATTAATAAACATAATGATATGAAACAGTACATGTGGATGCTAGTGATGGGCACAGTTTAAAAAATTTACCTAGAATTTTATCTAGGTAAACTTGCTGCACTTCTACACTTTACAAGTACTTCACTGTTGAGATTTATCCTCAACCTGAATTATTTTAGTGACATATCCCAACAGCAACAGACATGATGGTGATGATAACCTACACTTTGCAAGAGCATCAGCCCATGGTTACCAGAGGCATGCTAACAGACTCTGCTGAAAGCTGTACTCCATTATAATATATATATAATTTCCTCAAAAAGCAGGTTTTGTAAAAATGTGTGCTTGTGGCTTGTTACTGGAAGCTCTACTGGTTCCTTGCTAACTTGACTATAGCCTGGCTGGCAAAATACCAGTCTGTACAAGTAGTGAGTACTAAATCTCAGATATTCTGTGGTTTCAGATATTCAGCCTTCATCTATTAGTCCCTGACAAAGGCCTCATAATAAAGTTTTATCATTCATAGTTTCATATGGTGCCAGATCTTCAGATAATCAATGTCTTCTCATGGCTTTAAATCCTTTCTTCCCCAGTATGTTATCCCATGGGGACAGTTCCAATAAAAACAATTCACTCCCCAGAAAAAAGGGGAAAAAAAGGAAAGAAGCATACAAATGACTAACTAAATTTTGTTCCCACAGTTCTGCCAATGCTGCTGCTAAAACTAAAGCTGCTTTGACATAACTTGTATCACTGAGACTGATTCGGTGCTCTGCCATGACATAAAAATGGAGCCCTGACTGCGAGAAGTCCAATGCAATTCTTAGTAATACAGCATAATGTATAGATAAACCAGTAAACTTTGTAAAAAGCAGAGAGGGTCTTGGTAACCCTGACCACCTCGCTCTGGTACAGACTATGAGGTTGTCCATTTGTGGCTGCAGTGAAGCACTAATAATATTATATATGCACAACTGTGTCGTTGTTAGCAAACAGCAGTGATTATGAATTAGCCAGGCCCAGTTCAACTTGCTGTTTAAATTTTTCTAGAACCTATTTATACTTACTGGTGATTTCGAGGATATGCTCATAACACTCAAATGTTAGTAATGGCTGAGGGAGTTCCCTAAGGAAAGTCTTTAGGATAACAGCATGAATATGCATATCATGATTATCATCAAAATTCACAGACTTGCCTAAAAGAAGAAAAAAGAAGAAAATAGGAGTTCAATCATATTTTTATCTTTAAACTGCAGCTTAAGAACTGTGTCACACTACGTTTTGAACAGAAAATCTCTTGGCTTTCTGCTGCTGGTAACTCCTGGCATTTTCTTTTTGTATTTTTCATAGACACTTATTAATCTTGCTAAAAGAGATTGTCCCCATAAAGGCATTTCATAAAATGACTTCATGGGGAAGTCAGTGACTTTTAAAATTACTTCACTACATTTCATAAATTATTAGGCAAAATTGTATTTCTTTGCCATAACCATGGAAAAACACCAGAAGCAAAATGACACAAGGACATTGTACTTCATAACTACAGTAACTCAAAGCGTGTAAAAGCAATACAAATGTTTATGAAAAAACCACACCATTTTTGACTCAAACGTTATCATCCATTAGCTGCTATGGATTTTGTAAGCTCTGGTCTGACATCAACTGATGACCTGCTATTCAGTAAGTGTTAAGTGTCTGCTGCTCTCTTTCAGGTTTCTGTAATAGTGCTCTTGTAGTATTTTAGGTTACAAATGGGTTTATGATTAACTAACTGTAAGAATGCTAGTGCTTCTGCTTCACCAACAAAACCAAGATCAACAAAGCCCTCACACCATTACTGGCAATGGTAAGATGACAGCTTACCCTGATTGTAGAGTTTCTGAATATTCTTGATAGTCTGGATGCTGGCTGACCTTCTGAAGAGGCCCTCTACTTGTAGTCCTGAAAAAACCAATTAATGCAGGTCTCATCTGTGAAAGCTGTCACTCTCATTTTTCTCTATAGATTCAGTTGAAAACAGAACAGAGGGAGAAGGTTTGGGAACAAACCCACCTGATACACTCATTTTTTGGAAATAAAGTCCTTGAGAATAGAACATACAATCAAGTAATTTTGCAACATTGCCTACAGCACTTTCTTTAACGTGTCTCAAAGAAATACTACTACTTTTCCTTAAGCGTTTTAGAGTGTCTTACCAACTGTAATTTTTCTTTAAAAGCTTTCAATTGCACCTAATGACATAGAAGAGATTTCGATTCACCAGGCTGCTTTGTACCCACTCTCACTGAATGTACCTGCACATTGAACCCCACACCACACCTGTAAATCTGTTATTCTCCTTGCCTTAAACCCTTAGCAAGCTAAAGAGGGTACCTGCAAAAATTCTTTAAGCTTCCTCTTCTGCCAGCGAATGAGACAAGATCCTTTAGGCTGGGGAATGTTTCATAGGATTTTTGGATGAAGGACTCCATTTCTTACCATGGGAGGCATACTGGCCTCCCCAGCTTACAGGTAGTTTGGGGCAGACCACTTTTCCTTCCACCTCTCTGGAAATCAGTGGGACTTAAGACTGCCTGCCCACAGTATTTTGAAATGCCATACTCTAGTCCTGAGGCATTTCCAAAATATTAATCATAGATCTCCTAAAGGGTATCTCATTTGCTTTCATGTCTTGGACTAACTGAAAATTGACTTCAGCTACAGAGGAAAAAAGTCAATAAAATGCATCCAAATCAAAGATCTAATTTGGACCACAGATTTCAAGGTAAGTTATTTATCTGAATTATTATGCAAAACAAGATAGGGAGAAGCAGCATTACTTTTCTTGAGACTTGTGGTACTTCTTGCTTTTGAGTTTGGTAAAAGCCTCATTTCCCTCTCTCTTTCCTTCTCTCCAGTATGTGCTGTTCCTTCCACCCAGCAGGTAACACAACTTGACTCACACATAGTTTGAACTGGAGA